CCAGAAAGACAGAGAGAGACAGAGAGATAAAAAAACAGAAATCACCCTCCAGGGGAGATGGCCACGCTTCAATCCCTTCTCCTCCATTCTCCTCTCAGGATCTTGGGCACGCATGCACACGCACCTAGTGTGAGTTTAAATCACTGGGTCCAGGACTCGAACTGTGGTCAGCTACATGGGAGTTCAGTGACATAGCCATTAGGCTAACTGCTGGTCCCTATGTGGTAATATTTTTTATTGAACTAATATACAGTGTATTTATGCAGGAAAAATTTATCTTATGATTTAATGATATACAGTGATTGAAGGTAAAAAATATTAATAAAATAAGAGAAAAAATGAAACACTACGATAATTTACCAAAAAAAGAAATTGCAACTTATTATATTTTCAAGGTGTTAAGCTTCATTCTTTGCTTTATTTTACTGATTTGATTGTGATCATATATGCAAATCCAGATAGCTATTAACTTTCTCATACTTAATGTCATCAATATCAGCCCAAATACTTGTCTTACTAAGCAATATGCAAAACTCTAATAGGGCATTTCTGTGCCAAGTGTATTTAAAATGTGAAAGTAAAGCCTCTCAAAGCTAAATAGAATTTCCTCCATACCATTAGAAAAATGAATCAGAATGTATCAGATATCAACAAGTGCTTTCAAGAACATGAAATTATGTATATAGGAGAGAGTGTACCTGGGTATTTTTTTCTGGGGGAAGAGTATGGACAGTACAAGTGACAGACAAGGTGAGATTTAAACAGTCCCAGGGGAAGAGGGTGGGGGCTGCAAGTGTATCTGGGGAGGTGAATGACTTGCAGAGGGCAAGAGCAAGAGGGAGAAAGATGAGATATCAAGGGATTTTGAGGAAGGAGGGGGCCTGCTGATGCTGAAACTTGAGGACTCAAGGGTTCCTAATTCCGAGCTCTCCCAACTCTCTGTGTCTGTAGCATGTGAGAATGTCGATCCAGCAGCAAGATTTTATTTGCAAAATTTCCCATAGACATGTAAAGTTGGAGCTGCATTTTGAAGTGGCCATTCTGTGCTCTGTATTTTAAAAAGATGTTAAAGATGCAGAGAGAGATGAAAGAAATGCGCTGAGAGGGAAATGGATCTGATAGACTAAGGTGGCCCAGAGAGACTGGAAGAGAGACTCACCAGCTCAATCAGATGCTAACACTGGTGAAATGATCTTTAAGCCCTGAAGAAAAAAAATAACTTGTAAAGATGACTTGCAGACACACAAAAATAAAAAGACTAGCAGAAGCCTAAATAAATTCAGCCTCAGCATCAAAGAAATCATTGCATTGTAAAGCTCTTTAATTCTCCCATGTGAAATGTCAGTTCAACTTTATTTACTTATTTTTGAATACTAGATAAGAGAGAAGATACTGGGAAATGTCTGTCATTAACTGTTGTGGCAAGGGACTATTTGGAAGCATTTCTTTCTGATATTTTAATAACTACAGAAGCATGCTCAAATACAGCTCTTCTTAAAAGTTCAATTAAAAAAATGCCCACACGTGGGACCAACAGTTAGTGTAATTGCTATGTCGCTCGACTCCCACGTAGCCGACCGTGGTTCGAGTCCTAGACCCGGTGGCTTAAACTCATGCTGATGTGTGCGTGCATACCCAAGATCCTGAGAGGAGAATGGAGGAGAAGGGATTGTGGCGTGGCCATCCTCCCTGAGGGTTGATTTCTTGCTTTCTGTCTCTCTGTCTCTCTCTGTCTGTCTGGCAAGCGCACACGCCCTATAGCAAAAAACTCTCCAAAAAAGAAAAAAAAAAAAGAAAAAGAAAAATGCCCACACTTCAGTGTACAACCTTCCACATGCAAAGTTCCCTCCCCTTTACCGTAAATCTCCATGGTATGTTCTAAATTAACTGGAATTACCTTACTCCTCTTAGTCCTTCTTCTGTCTCATCCAATTAAACTTTAAAGCTCACCACTTAATTGTCAACCATGACCTATGCTTTGCAGAGATTAAAAGACACTTTTGTTTTACTTTACCATAGAGCATGTGCACTTGCCAGAGAGAGACTCGTGGTGGGGATTCAGAGGTAGTAATCACCTTCCAGTGGGGATGGTCACACTGAAATACTGTCTTATCCAGTCTTCTCTTGGAATTTTGGGCATGCACGTACATGGACCTGGTGGGTACATCAGGTCCGGGAATCAAATTGCTCAATTGCTCATATGGAATCCAGCTGTCTTAACCTCCATGCCAACTTCTGACTCTAAAACTTCACTTGCTAACAAATGAAATAAATTAATTACAAATTAATGTACCAGCCAAGCAAATAAACACTGCAATCTTTGGGCTCTGGGCAAGGCTGGTCGATCTCTGAAATGACTTCAGGAAAACATTTTCCATTTCCTTTCTCTGTGAACTTTTCCTGTATATCTTTTACATAAGCACATTTGAGTCCATTTGCTTATATGGTACAAAATTATACTGTTGATACTTTTTCTTCCACTGTTTTATTAAAAATATATTTTAAAAATATTTTATATACAGCTTTTATCCATTTAATCAGAAATTAGAGAACTAGGCTGATGTGACTAAATGATCATTTTAAAGCTTTTCTTTAATAATTGATTATATATTCTCATTCCACTTTATTGAATACAGTTGTTTTGAATGTATTCTATTTACTTGGCCATATATTTCCCATAATTCCCTGTTTTTAAATGTTTCTATAAATGCACAGCACAAAGTCATAGCACAAAGGGGACCCAACTTCACATGTCCATGGGAAATTTGCCAACTGGAAAGTTGCTGCTGTGTCCATGTTCTTAGAGAGTTGCATTTATAAAGGACTGGGACAGCAGGTGATTGAAGGACAATCAATGTCCTCGCATTTGAGCATCAGCAGGTCCCCTCATTTCTCACCATCCCCTGACACCATCTGATTATTCTCCCTCTTGCTCATTTTCTCTGCAAGACCTTGACTTCTCCATGTAGCCTTGCAGCTCCTACCCTCTCTTCCCTGAGGTCTCTGTTCAAAAGCAAACCTGTCAGTTAATTAATAGTTCCCCTGTCCACTCAGACATTTCTACGTAATTTTATTGCATTTTATTAGCATTTGCTAATATGTGATATGTCACACAATAATTTCATCAGTTCATGCTGTCCATCAATAATTGTTATTTCAATTTCTTACCAACTTACATTCATTACTCAGACAGTACATGGAACTTAGTGGGCTTTCTCTTTATATTACTCAAATACATGTGAGAATTGTGAGAAAGGTTGGGAATGGGATAGAAATTCTCAACTAGACATAGCCTGAGAGTGTAGGGTGTGCTAAAGGGGAGAGGAACCATACACAAAATAGAGAATGGGTCGACACTGTAACCAAGTGATTCAAGAAGTGAGATCTCCCATTGTTGATCAAGTTATGAGTCCCAGCTCTGGTTGCTTAAAAAACACTCTGGGTATGTGTGTGTGCAAGGTGAAATCACAGCAGAATGGAGAGATGGAGGAAAAGGGATTGTGCAATGACCATGACCCCACCCCCTTTCTCTAACAAGTATATGCATCACTTTGCAATAAAATATATATATATATATATATTAGTTTCTTTACTATGAAACAAAAACTTCAGCATTTAACTGAAGTAATTTTTGTGAACTGAGTTAGCCAACTTTGTGAGTCATTTTGATTAAAAAAAAAGTAGTTACCTTAATTTATTTTTTCTGATTTCTTTTTTTCTTTTATGGAGATTTTTTTTTGTATTTTAGATGTTTTTATTTCTTCAAATTTATTATTTATCAGGAGTGACTGAAATAAAAAATATAATTGAGTCCCATCATCATTATCATCATGGAAATAACTTTTAAGAGAAAACTGGTCAGATGAATATTATTGCTTCACATTTTCAACCAGTAAATAGTTGCCACTGATAGACAGCCAAGGGGCTGTCAAAAATGCTTAAGATATGTGGGAACCAGCAGTTAGCATAATGGCTATGTTGCTGGACTCCCACGTAGTCGACCGCGGTTTGAGTCCCAGACCCGGTGGCTTAAAACTCATGCCAGGCGCGTGTGCATGCGTGTCCAAGATCCCAAGAGGAGAATGGAGGAGAAGGGATTTCGGCGTGGCCATCCCCCCTGGGGGGTGATTTCTCGCTTTCTGTCTCTATGTCTCTCTCTGTCTGGTGAGTGCATACACCAAGCACAAAAGCACCACCCATCGCTCTGAGAACATTGGACCATGCACCCTTGAAAAAAGCTTTGCCCCCTTCATCTCAAGCAATCTTCCTCCAGCAGTCAAGCATGCCCATGTACATGATATCAGTTCCTTTGTGCCCCGTCTGCATCATCATGCAGCAATGAACAGTCGCAATGGTGGTGACAGACTGTGCAATCATCCAGCTAATAAAGACATGAGTATTCTTGGGATCTGGAAGCATTCCCTTTGCAGTGTCATAGATACCAAAGTAAGCAGCTCGGTAGATGATAATACCCTGCACGGACACGTTAAAGCCTTGGTACAGGCCCCTAATCCCATCAGATTTGTAGACCTGAACCAGACAGTCGCCGAGGCCTTTGAATTCCCTTTCAGCTCCAGCTTTACCCACATCAGCTGCTAAACAAGTACGGGCAAAATCAAGAGGGTACAAAGACGTGGCCCCAGCAGCACCACTGGATGCCAGGTTCTCTGAAAAGTAGCGCCAAAACTGGGTCCTCTTGTCCACATCACCCAGGAAGATCTGCTTGTATTTATCTTTGAAAGCAAAGTTGAGAACCTGGGTGGGAAAGTATCTGATAACATTGGCCAGGTTACCACACCAGAAGGACAGGACTTCCTGCTCCTTGGGGATACGGACCACACAGTCTATGATGCCCTTGTATTGCTTATCTGCGGTGATCTGCTTGCTGGCCTGCTGCACCTGCAGCAGCAGCTTGACCCACTCGATAGGTGCTACTTCAGTCTTGGACAGCCACTCCACCTGACAGGAAGTCCTTGGCGAAGGACACGGTGGCATCTGTCATGTTGAAAGGAAAGAGGAGGCAGGCAACTGCGGGACGAGCCTGTGCTGGGAACTGGCTTAGACTCCGGGGCTCTGGGCAGAGAGTTTTTTGTTTGTTTGTTTGCTTTTTGTTTGTTTTTCTTATAGGGCACGTGAGCTTTCCAGAAACACAGAGAGAGACAGAGAGACAGAAAGCGAGAAATCACCCCCCCAGGGGGGATGGTCACGCCACAATCCCTTCTCTTCCATTCTCCTCTTGGGATCTTGGGCACACACGCACACGTGCCTAGGGTGTTTAAGCCACCGGGTCCGGGACTCCAACAGTGGCCGACTACATGGGAGTCCAGCAACATAGCCATTACAGCATGTGCTGGTCCCAAAATATTCATTTTATTGCCTTTGGCTGAACACCGGTGGTCTTTCTGATCAATCCAGAAGGTGACTGTGGAAGAAGTGACCCTCACCTGGGTCTCTGAGTTCTTGCTCTTGGGACTCTTAGAAGCCCCCAAACAGCAGCAGCTGCTTTTCGTCATTATCATGAGCATGTACTTGGTGACTGGGCTGGGGAACCTGCTCATCATCCTGGCCATGGGCATGGATGCCCAGTTCCGCACGCCCATGTACTACTTCCTGGCCAACCTGGCCTTCGTGGACATTTGTTTCACCTCCACAACTGTCCCCAAGATGCTGGCCAATCACGTGCCAGGACGCAGAGGGATCCTTTACATGGGCTGCTTGACCCAGACATTCTTTATCAGGTTCGTGGGCATCGACAGCTTC